GTTGAATAAAGTATTTTCAAAAAGTTGCTGTCATGGTAAACAGAATTTTTCCATATCGTAGCCCAACTTTAATAATCAAATACAATTGTGTTTGTTTTTTAATTTAATTTTTATTTTATTTAATTTTTTACCCAGCTAAACTATAAAATAAGAGGTCTGAGGTTAGAAAATGGTGGTACAAGGTACGTAAAGGCAACACACCTAAGGCAGGTGACTTCATCTGCGTGGTCATACAGTGTTCGAATCACAGGGTGATTCTTCAAGGTTTGCTGTGCTGTGTCATTCATCATCACCTGAAATATAAAGACACGCACACATAAAGAAAAACAGTTAAAATAAGCCCACTGGATTAAAAACGTGCAGGGTATGACAAATTAATCTATTTGGAGTTTGGGAGTGTTGCAAAAAAAATCTGTGAAACTGTGATGAGAATGTCCCTCTTGTTTCTAACATTTTTATATAAATGATTTTATTGGGAAAAGCAACAACAAGAGATTAATGGATGATGCAAAATAGCTCTTAGTCAGTCCAGCTTTAAATGTGTTGATATGCTATGAATTTTCCTGTGTGTCACTACCTAAATTCTAACACATTAATCATTTCTATGTTTATGTGTAAAAGCCTTATTATACCTCAGATATGTAGGCCTACATTAAAGGCCCAGCAGATGGTGCACAAGTACAACATCAGCAAAGACATACAGAGACAAAAGCTGTAAGCTTGTGCTCAGATTTAGGCTCAGCTTTGTTGCTATTATTGCAGTCTTAGTTTCACAGTTGTAAGCTTGAAAATCACTTCTGCTGAGCTACATTTTGAACACAGCAGCTAAGACTGTGTTATAGAGGAAATCAGAGACAATTATTATGGTTTCCAGTTCAACACTGGCACCTGACTGTGTTTGGCAGCTGGTAGTAGTGTTGTTATTGGTGGTGATGCTGAAGACAAAAATGGGGCATGAGACTGCTATTCTTCATCCACTGAAAAGGCACAAGTGAACATGTAAGTGGATATAGGCCTCCAGCAATTCAGCACCCACCCACACACAGTCTCTCAGTTGCCACTTCCTGCAATGTGGCTGATCAGTTCAGTGTAATACATGCAGATAGATGGTGGTAGCTTAGCTTGTTAAAGAGATGGGCCTATTCAAATGATACATCTGTCATTTGTTCTTTCATGTGCAAAAATGCAGCGAGGGACCCATTCAAACACTAATACAGTAAGCTGGATATTTCCCTTGGGTGCCTTCAGTAGGGCCGTGACTTGAAAGAGCTTGTACGCAACTTTACAGTCCTCACAAAATTAAGTAAAATTTGAGAGTGAAGGGGGAGGAGCTGTTTGTATAAAATGATTATACAATACACAAACTGCTGTATCAGAATGTCTAAATACCAGCAACAAAACAACTAAGATCTTTTCACAATGCAAAGTTCAGCAACTGGGAGACCAGGTGGATAGCAGAACAGATTTCCTTGGTCTCTGGTCACTGCTGATGATCAGCTGTTAAACTTGACTCAACCCTGTATCCTAGTAACCTGAGTAACATGGCCAAAATATAATCTATCTACACCATTAAACGCCTACTGACTGTTTTGGGGAGGACATCTGTACAAATCCATGCAGACTATACACATACTGTAATTTAAAAGCATTTCATCTGACTCAGTCTTTAAAGACATGCAAACATGCCTGACACTATGCTTCCACCCTGCAGGATGTGAGCTGTGTAAGGGTGGTAAAAACATGCGTGGTAGGAGGTGTCTTGTTACCATGTCAACACAAAGCATGCTCTCAGCGGACCAGCCTGCAGTTGCCTTGGAGACCAGCGAGAGTCTGTAGCAGTGAAATGATATAAAAAGTATTTGTTTTCTTTCAGCAGATGTCATCTGATAATTGCACAGCGGATCCCACACGATGACATACTGTTCAAAAACATCTGAGCTTTGAAAACATCACTTAGATCAGAGGTATTAAGGAATGTTTTGAAAATGTTTTTTAAAATTGTATTCACATTTAAAAAGAAGATAGAGTAAACTTAATGCGGCTTAAGGGCTGGTTCATAATTTTGTTATAACAATGGATCAAATGACTCAGTGTAATATGGAAACAGTCGTTCATATTGACAAACACAGAGAGGATTAATTACCACCCAATCCTGCAGTGCCCTTCAGCTTTATGGAGCACTTTAGCTTCTTTTAGCTCATCGTTGCAGTTTTACAGCCCTCAACTTTACTATTTTGGTTCAGTCTTACAGCTGTCATTGGCACAGAGGGATGATGTTTTTCTGTAGGCCAAGTTAGCATCACACTGGTTCCCTCATCAAAAAGCCTGTGGGATTTTTCCATTGGATTCTGGATTATTGCAGAAAATAAGATCTGTGGCAAACAAAAGGTTATGATACTTACATATCTTCACAAATGAAGGTTATTTTCATGATTATTGGTGCCTAAATGCAATCGCCAGAAGTGAAAAGCTAACATTAGGCTATAAACTAATTACACTATTGTCACATGAGATAATGTCATTGCCATAACAAAACTGTAAAGCTGTGTTTGTCGTGGCTCGGCATGATGATGTTCTGTAGCCTCATTTATCCACTTGTTAGCAACCGACTTTTTAAAAATACATAGAAGCTTCAAAGTTCACGAGTGGGGTATTTACTGATGTATTTTATTTCGTAGAACAAAACGTGAAAGCCTGTGTTAACTATAAATATTATTTCAGGCATCTAACCACAAACCCATTCAAACAACCTGTTGACTTTGAGATGAGGGAACCAGTTCCTGGCAGACCCTATTGTTTCCAGCAGCAGCATGCTGCTGTATTTAAAAAGAATAAATAAATAAAAAACTCAGATAAATCTACAGTACACTTCCTGACCCAACACCAAACAGCAGACAAAGTTAGAGATTAGTGTCTTGCTGCTGAAGAGCCAGAATTTTTCTCAGGAGGTGGTTGAGACCAAAACAGAGCTGAAACAAGAGTGAATGCTCACTACATTTGTCAGGTGGTCAGACAATTTAGTAGGTATGAATGCGGACGTTACTTGGTATCTGCTGGATGTGTGCAATAGTAGTAATAGTTTGCTAACAAGTTAGCCATTTCAACTTTGTAAGGTGCGGCAGGAATGAGTGCTAAAATGTGGAAATGAGTTAGCATGCCTACACTTCCGAATCCCTCGTCCTGAGGTCAATGGGTTTTTTCAATGGGTTAAGGTCTGTGGTTAACACAAGCTTAAGAGACTTTCTTGTTTTGTTCTACAACATAAAATAGGCTATGTCAGTAAAAATCCCACTTATTAACTTTGGAGCTTTTATGTGTTTTAAAAAAGGCAGTTGCTAACAAGTGGCTAAATGAGACTTCAGAATTTCATCCCACCAGACACAGCTTTACGGCCTTGTTGCGGTGGCGATGTTGAAGTCATGCAACTGTGTAGTTCGTCCATAGCCTAAGATTAGCCTTTTACTTCTGGTGATTGCAATTACGCTTCAAAAATAGTGAAAGTGGCAATCATATGTGAAGAAAAAGAAGAAAAAGTCCAACTGAAAAAATCCATTGGCTTACTGACAAGGGAACCAGGGTGATGCTAGTCTCGCTCACCAGACCTTTCTCAAGAAAAGAAAGGTCTGGCTGGGCCGACTCTCACTTTGAGATTGGAGAAAAAAACGCCCCAGCTGCTTGTATTTCTTTCAACCAATCACAATCGTTCTTGGCAGTGCCACAGCAACGGTGCGCTTGCAAAAATATTGCTGGGGGAAAACAGGTTTTGGTGTAACACGCCCACAAAAATATTGCCTACAGGACGCGAACCATGGCAGAAAAATGGCCACATCCCCTCAAGATCAAACACCGTTAAAGTTAGTAAAGGACGTGTTGAAAACTGCAACCGGAGGTGGTAGGGCGGGACTTCAGCGGGTGGCTCGTTCCGCCACTGAGAGGCTGATCTTTGCAGCAAACTTCCACCCACTCAGACTAGGGTGATGCTAACGTCCATGTCAGCCTACAAAACATAATCCCTGAGCACTTTATACGTCAGAGTTGCATTTACAGCTTGTTGTGCTGCCACAAAGAGGCCAAAAATGTTGGATGTTAGAATTTCGCATTGTGTGGACGTTAACATTATGATGTTTGCAGATGATCGGTTTTGTTCTTAGTTTGGTTACTTAACAGCACAACTTAAAATTAACAAAATATCATCTGTTGTCAGTATTCTGCCAGATTGACTTTGGCATTAGACATTATTCTGACATTTAAATTTGGTAATATGATTTTTGTAGGAAAAATAATCAAACAAGAATTTGCTGGCACTATCTTGCTGACCTTTATTTCACTTAAATTCAACATGGATCCTTTTTTTTATTATAGTTGCTTCCTCAATTGTCGTTAATGATTGATAAAAAATGTTGAGTGCAGGGGGACATGAACTTTTTTTGGCTTCTGTAGAGAGGTATGGTAGAATAACTCTGACAGCCACTGTCATATGAAAACGTTACAAGGATAAAAAATACGATTTGCTTTTACCTTTTCAGTGAAGCTGATCATATCTTTTGTTTACTCTTTGATACACTGAAGAAAACTGCTGCCACAAAAGACACATCATTCCTCAGTTTTTTTCAGATTCTTGAGTTAAAAACTGAGCAATGCAATCTGTACTATGTTTTAAAACCAGCGAGAGTAAATGCAGCAAAGAAAAAGGGCTACTCTACTACTGTATAAGCATGTGCGGTGTGAGCTGGTGTACCCCAGGACAAAGTGATACATACTGTAATGTGGTTGGAGGTGGGAAATTCACTCCAGCCACTCACAACTCATCCATTTGTTCTGTGCCTGAGAGAGTGAGAGCAGTGCATGTGCAGCAAAGCAGCCACATCAACATTAGCTTTGCTGCGCCCTTGTCTTTGTGGGTGTATGAAATACAGTGTGTGGGAGGAAGAAGGTAGGTGGGGGAGCAAGCATATAAGTGAGCCAGAAGTCAGCTGCCTCAAACTGTTGATGATAAAGTCAGTCAGTCAGCCAGCGTGACTGTTGAAGGTAAGCTCGCCTCTGTCACAGCACTTCCTCTGCCAAGCAGTCTCTTTCACTTCTGCACAGCACTTTGTATTAACCTTAAATCCTTCCATCTGTGCTCAGGGCCTCTGTGCTCTTTCACTCCTCCTGATCACTCTGTGTACTCTATGTTTTCAACTTGTCCTCCGGAAGTCTTTGTTTGACAGTCACACACCCACCCAGCCAGCCCTGCTCCTTCCCTCACTCTCCTCCTCTCTGCCTCACTTTCACAGTGCATCTTCTCTCTCATTTGCATTTGTTCCGCTTCCTCAACAAGAAACAGTTCATGTGAAAGAGCTGTGAGAGAAAATAAGATTGGAGCACTGAAATGAGCAGGTACACTGAGGATGGGGCTGTTCAGTGTAGAAGACTTTCTGAGCTGGATTGTTGCTGATTGAAGTGCAAAGCACGGAGGTAAGTGACTTCTGTACAACTGTTTCTTTTTTATAGTTTTGTGTTGCGTCTGAGTTTGGGTATGTGGTTTCTTGTGGTGTTATTCTTACCTACACTCAGTGATGGCAACACCATCAGATATTTCCTCTTTTTAAACGTTTGCTCGTCAGAACAGCAGCTGGAAATCAGATTTATAGAGTAGATAAAATGAAACTAGAAATGTTCTGACACAAGAAATCAAGAAAGTCTTCCTTTTTGTTTACATTTTGGTGCTACACATATTTGCTGATGCTTGTTCTTAGTACAAACAGAAGCTGTTTTCCAGCACAGTTTGACCTCTTTTTAAGCCCAATCCACTGAAGACACACTTAATTTCAAAGTGATTACAAGTGAAATATCCCTCTTAATCATGCAAAAGGTCTTCACTACAGTTGCACTTGTAACAATAAGACATATTTACATCATACATTTATAATGGGAGGAAATGAAAGCACATTACAATAAAAGCGTAGATCTAGTTCCTCAGTAAATGTTTGAAAATTATAATACACTTGGACAATGCTTCTCGTTTTCACTGGAATATAAACAGAGACAAACTTTCCCCAGTTCACCGTACCACAAAAAGTATCTGACGTGGGCGTGCTCATGCTGTACAACTAACAACAAAGCATGCGCTCAATGCCAACTGTACCTCTGTGGGTGAATTATGCAAAATCACCGTACATGTAGAAGAAGCATCACAGCAACAGGAAATGAAATCTGGTTGACCTAATATTAAGCTATTTATCTTTTCACGTAGGTGGCTTTACGCTTCGATTAGAATGCTGCATGAATATGACAGTCTGTCAGGAGACAAAGCCGCCACATGCCACTGGGAACATCAAGGGTATGCCATTTAATTGGTGCCGACTGGTGACAGAGGCAACCGCTAATGTCAGCAGACACATTTCATTTGGGGAGATAAAAGCCTCTGATGTACTGTATGAGTATCTGATCTCACTCCCTCATCCCTCTGCTGATGTGAGTCACTCTCCTGGATCATTCCCTGCTTCTCTCTACCAAATATATACATCTCTACCCATGTTTTGTCTCATATTTCCACTGCCTGCACACAAAGCATATCTTAAGTGTTGTATTCCTGCACCACCTGCTCTTGAAATTACACAGCAGAGAATCAGATGCCTCTACTTTTCTCTGCTCTCTGTAACCATGGATATCATTGCTCATCACAACAATGGCATAACTCAGATATTATTTTATTTTATTATTATTTTAGTGCTGTAGAATGTGGACATCTTTGCAAATCATGTCCCCCTGGATTTTATCACCGTGCAATATCCAGACTGGATTAATTGCTTTATTAGCCATCTGTCCTAAAGAGTACAGCATATCTGTCATCATTAACTGCTTTGGTATATTTATTCATTGCTATTCTCCTTTTCTCTGTTCCACTGGTGCAATAGCAAAATGAATGAAGTCTTATTTTCCTCTTTAAGAGCAAGACCTAGAAACATCCACGCTCAAATAGATGGATCTGCCCCGTTTGATCTGAGGCAAAGCAGAGGTCTAATGCAAACTGTTCTTATCTTACAGGTAATTAGAGACCTGGCACTGGTACATCACGACAGCAGCAGTGTTACCATGGAGACTGGCAAGCCAGGATTGGCGAGTGCTCCATTGCACATCAGCTCCGTCGCAGCGCAGACAGAGAAAAGGATGGACATCCAGGCCCCGCTGACGGCTGTTTACATCCACACAGTGCCTGCTCTACCCGCACAGCCTTACCCCCAGCCTCCTGCAGCCGCTCGCGAGCCAGCCACACTCCATCTGGCCATGCCGCCCCTCTACTCCAAGGAGACGCTTCCCTTTCTGACACTCCATATTGCCGGTGGACTGCAGTCTCAGCCGGGATTGAGTCTGGCAGCTGCTGCTCCTGCAGCCAGACCCAAGTCGGCGGGAAAGCACGTGTGTCCTCACTGTGGACGGGACTGTATGAAGCCCAGTGTGCTGGAGAAGCATCTCCGCTGCCACACAGGGGAGCGACCTTACCCCTGCACCACTTGTGGAGTTTCTTTTAAGACTCAGAGCAACCTCTACAAACATAAGCGCACTCAGGCTCATGCACGACAATCTTCTGAATCAGACCAGAGCAGCCTGAGCCTAGACAGCATGTCCAGCTCCAGAGAGACTTGTACCTCTAGTTTGTCTCTGGATGAGCGCAGTCAGGAGTCCGGCAGCACGGAAAAGGAAGCCATACTACCTGCTGCTGAGATAACCACTGCAGCCAGTACTGCAAAGGTCTACTCTGTAAATACAGAAGGTTCTGTCGGTGAACAGAATAACTTGATACTTGCAGGTCAGAAGACAGAGGCAAACGAAAGTGCAATGGTATCAATAGAGGGAGAAAAACAGAGCCTTGAAAAAGAAAAATCTCTGTTGTCTGCCGGTCGACATCTTCCTCTTCAGAGACAAGAGGCCACTCTGTTTTCCAAGCAGTGGGAGAGCTCTGTATCCAGAGGGAAATCCCAGAGCCACGAGAGCACAGACTCAGGCTTCAGTGAGAGCAGTGACAGCGTTTTACCCGACCACAGTATGGATTCCCTCACCGAATCCACTAAGGAGCATCTTGAAGAAACCACCAGCACACAAACACCTTCAGAACCAAGCCAATGTGGACAACCCAAAGAAAATGCAAGGGAGCAGGAGCAGAAGACACTGGAGGAGCGCATATCAAAGCTGATTTCAGAGAATACAGCTGTTGTTGAGGACAAACAGCTGGAGAATGTAAGGCCACGAAAGACAGTTCTGTCAAAGCAGGGTAGTATTGACCTCCCTATGCCGTATACGTACAAGGACTCCTTTCACTTTGACATGAAGATCAGTAAGACTCCGAATGTTGGGTTACAGAGAAACAAGAAACCTGGCCTCTACAACTCTGTGCCCACTCAGCGATCCAACACCATGGAGCACGCCCCCCTGACCCGCAGCAACTCCCTCCCTTTCAGCGTTACCCTCCTGCAGCCCGAGAGGAGCAGCCCGACCTCCTCCTATCAGAGTGATTATGTAACACTTGTTCGGAGGGGGAGCTCGGGCCAGATCAATCCAACAGGTTTTGCAATCAAGCCTGTGAACCAGCATTCATCCACCCACCGCCCACTGGTCCGGCAGACAGCCGTAGACTGCAACCACGCAACAGACGGTCTCTTCGTCAATTCATCTGTGGAGGAGGCATGCGCCGGCAGTCTCAGCTGCGATGGGGACGGTGGTGACATTTGTGGAGAGCCAAGCAACAGAAAGTTCCGGAGGAAGAAAGCACAGAAGTTTGCCTACAACAAGTGGTACATGTACGGGGGAGGGACTTTTAAGAAGCTCTACAATGCGGAGAAAGGTGGTGATGGCAGCGTTATCAAAGGCAGGAAATGTTCAACAAACCCAGAGCACGAGGTCGCGCAGGGCCTGCAGAAAAAGCTGCCAGCAGTTCATAAAGAAACAGTAGCAACAACAGGCTCGACAATAAACTTCACAACCTGCGGTACAACAGTGTGTCATCCAGGCTGCCCTACTGCCAAAGTATCACTCGTCTCTGCTGTGGATTTTAATCTAAAAACTAGCCAGCTTCAAACATCATGCAGCTCTCTTAAGACTCCACTTCGGAGAAACCTGTCTTTGTCAATACTGCCACTATCTTCAATCGGATCATTGATTAGCCACCAAACGGACAGCATGAGCAGAGCAGAGGGAGGGAGAGTGACTGATGAAGAAAAGCATACTGACTCCACCTCGCAGCTCTGTGGAGCCCAGATTCCCTCCGACAGAAAAAAACAGAAAACTGATTTTAAAATAATTTGCCCTCTAGAGATGGATACCGACCCAAACACAGTGACTCATCCCCTCCCCTCTGTCACTGGCAGTGTGCCTCAGCAGGATACAAATCTCAGTTATATCAATCTCCAAAACAATCCAAAACACACTCAGCTCAAAGCGGCTGTCTTTCCAACATGCCTAATCAATGCAAATACACCGTCTGTTAACACCTCGTCGGCCACTTCCACACCCTCCACTGCCAAGGCCAGCTTCCTGCCCAAGTACCAGCTCAAGTTACCTAATGCTGCCGAACCTGATTCCAATCCTTCACCACATGTTGTGGATAAACCAACAGGAACTTATGGCTGCACTCTCACCTCCTCTTTGTCATCTTCTTACCCTGAGCAAACCTCACCCTCTGTCAAAACTTCTGAGAAGAAATGTGGTGATGCTGTCACCTCACCAATGGTACAGACTTGTGATGTCAAAAAGACAAGCACTTTCACACAACACCAACTCCTCTTGCCTTGCACGTCCACAACCCTTTGTCAAGCTGACACATCAAGACTCATTTCAAATGCAACATCTAGCTTAGCTGTAGTGCACAAGCAATTTGCAGCAACCACAATAACCACAACCTGCCTTCAAAATTACCAGACAGGATTATGCAGCACTTCAATACAGCCCTCGAAATCTGCAGGACCCTCAGCGCCAATGCAGTTACCCAGACCTGTTGCACCCATGGTTGCGAACTTCCCTGCTACACCTACCATAACCGCAGCAGCCAGTCAGTTATCTGCTGCTGCCATTACAGCTTTCTCACAAGGTCAACCTAACCCTAACCCCCCTATGTCACACACACAACTCTCACCAGCGTCACACCAGCTGAGCCCTGTAAACAGTGCATACGCCGGCACAAAGGCATCAGTTGTACCTTGTCATATGGTACCGTTTGACCAGATGCAGCCAGACGCTCAGAACGTCTTTCATGTTCACACAGCAGACCTCCAGATCTGTCTCCAGATCATCTCTGATGAGCAGCTGGCTCTCATTGAACCCCAAATTGAGAGGCAAGCAGGTGGCACCCTCTCACAGAGGTGTGATGTGGAAGCCCCAGAAGTGATCCAGAATAAAGCTCAAGGCTCTGTCACCATGGAAAGCAGCAATGAGGGACATCAGCAAGGACATCAAAGAGAGTCTTTACCCACACTTAACATGGGAATAAAACCTCCACTGTCTGTACAATTTGGGAAGACAGAGACAAATCTCCAACTGACTGAACACAGTAATTCCACTCAGGCTACAGTATCAGCTGAATCTACGTCTCCTGAAGTGCTAGGCTTGCCGCTACGCCTACACACATACAGTCACGTAAACATGGTCACTGTGAGTCAGAGCTCTACAGGCAATGTTATGTCAACTGCTACTTCACTTAAAGGTGTAAAGTCAGGAAGAAGCCAAACTTCAGAGGAGAATCATGACCTTTCTCTAAATCGTTGTGCAGAGGAGCAACTTTTGCCAGAAACAAGGGTCAGCCAAGGTGGATTGATCTCCCAAACATTCTCTGGCCAACAGAAACGCAGCATGACCTCTCTCTCTCCCAGCACAGTGAATCAGAATAGCACAAGAGGTGAAAGACTGGGCAAAGAAAGCCAACACAAACTTAAAAATCAAGTAGCTTTGTGTAATCTAGGCACAATGAAAGCAATGAGTGAAGCCCCTGCACACACAGGAAGCAGATTAGAAAGTGGAGAAACCCACCCTCCCCCACAGGTTGGGCTTGTTCAGGCCTCTGGTGCTGCTGGTGAACTCTCTGGATCAGTTTCTTCATTTTCCATTGATAAATGCAAAGCTTCAAGACAGCTGAACACACAAACATCCATCTACTGCAGTAATCTAGTGGAATCTACATTATCAGAGTCTCTGAATTCATTTAAAGATACAAACACAGGATGTGACAGAGTGGGATCTCATGTCCATGCCCCTTCACACGAAATGACCCTGAGTAAATCACAAGATGTAATCAGCTCAAGCCACTCAGCCACTTCAGTGTCTCCTAATTTCGTAGAAAGACCCAAAGACATCCCGGCTGCACTTACAAGTATTCAGAGCCCTACTGCAGGTATATCTAATTGTTTTAATTGTATTCATATTGTATATGATCTGAATGAGTGTGTGAATGTGTCATTGATTTGGCTCTATTGTCCAGCACACTGTATTTAAAATCAAACAATGACTATGAGGGTAAGTAGCTGACTTTAATGGGTATTTGATAGTGTTCACCTTCACATTAAGTCTTGTATGTACATAGTCCCCCAATTCTGGGACAATGACTCCAAATATGCAGCATAGACATGGTAAGCAAGAGTTTTAGGGCCTGCCAGTGAAATGTTCTTTACTTGTTAAGTCAGCCACCTCATTTTATTGCAACTGATTGTGCGTTTCACTGCTGGAGACCAGACTGAAGGTAAAAGAAAAACCAGGGCACAGGCCCCCGAGGGCCACTAAATCCCCAGGTTCACTGTCTAAGTGTGATATGTTGGGCTTTTAAACAATCCCTCTGGTAGAGGAATACTTCACCTTTTGTGTTTCAATTACTCACCCTGTGTTATATTGAATTAGTGAAGAAAATTTTGTTTTTCCCACATGCCTCCACAAAGAATACAAAAACAAAGTTCTTGTGGAATTAAATTCATAGAGGCCCATGTTAAACGACAGCAAAACTATATCAAAATATCTGTTAACAAACTCAAACACAACTCGTGCCAGATAATCCAAGTCTCATTTATCCAGTAGTATGCTCAGGACTTTCCAACAGGAAACTGAGCTGAAAGTAAAACTTACCTATGCTCTCTTCAGAACCAAACTCCATTGACAGAAACACAGATTTCAGAGCTGCTTGCCCACTAATGCATTCATCTGTAGTTTGTGTTATGGCACTGTTACCCATGAGCGAATGCATGTGAGTGACCATCACCTGCTGAGGGGATATTCATGCTAAATGGGGGCAGTGCTGGATGTAACACACGGAAGCTAGCTTGCTAGCCAATGTTAGCTAGCTTGCTAATAAATACTGCAAAATATGATGTTATTGGTACATTTTCATTTTCCTAAGTTCCATGCCTGTCTCCCATCTCACTGCCAGCCAGGTAGAATCTCTCATGTGCAGCAGTCTGTATTTTTCATGACCAATATCGTACAATATTGGCTGGTTACACACATTAACAGCAGTGTCTCCTAACAACATACTTCTTTACCATTGGTTGAAGCTGAGATTTTGCCGGCCCAAGTTCACCAAAGTTTAACCTCACATGATGAAATTGAAGTGAACATGTGTGACCCTGTGAACACCAAAGTCACTAAAACAACCTAACTGATTATTTGGGGGTTGAGGTATTCCTTCAGTACAAAATTCTCTGTGTAAAACACTAGATTTAATATTATCATTGTGTTTATATTGTTTTGACATGGTGTAGCCTATATTTCTATATAAATTTGTCGAGAGAGAGTGAGAGGATACAACATACAGAGAGAAGGTGGTGTCTGTGTCAACAGGGGCTCATGGTTCATTTTTGCTCCATGGTCCCAAGTAGTTATCAATCCTCCAAAGATTAGCTAAAAAAAACAACTATGATTTAACATTGACATTTTGATCAACATGTATCCTAAATTGTACAATATATTCATATGTAAAAGGTTACAGTTATGGTTCATCTGGTGTGGATGTGAACAGCCTCAAATGGACCTCATTGGCTCTTTAACCCTTTTGTCATTGTTTAGTTTCAGTCCGATGTCCTGGAGTTCAGAGACAACTCCAAAATAATATGTCTGATTTATTATTTCGATGCACAGACTGCACTGTATATGCTTTACTAACACATTTGAATCTGTGCAGATTTTAAAACATAGACCACTTTTAACCACAGGATGGCAGCATATAATCACTGGTTTGCAGGATGGAGGCTTTCTCTGAATCTAGTTTTATGCAGTATCACCAAAACCCACAATTGACGTGGAGGTCTTGAGAAATTTAATGCACTGACCAATAATTATCTTTATCAAATATTATAGACAAAATAATCAAATGAAGTCATGTATTTATCAAATGCAAAGTAATTACAGAGGCAGTCATTAGTATTGAAAATCTTGGGTCTCGGGCTTCCTCCAACAATGCCATTTAGATATATATGAAAAGAAAATCACACAAGTGAAAAACAAAATAAGAATCCAAGACATAAAATATAACATCAATAAAATATGAAATAAAGTAGTATAAGTAACATAAATTTGTGGTAGATGGTATTATTGTCCTTGTTAATGTGACATGTGGGCTGCCCCTCAGGCTTTCATGGAGAACTGTATTATCCTGTGGTATTTATGATTCGACTACTATCACAGCACACAACATCAGTTTACCCTCTCTTTAAATTAAAGAAGTTTGGAATTAGAGACAATAATAAAGTTAAAAGGCCTGAGGAGCACAGGACAGACAAAAGGGCTGTGACCCCCATCCGCTGCCTCCTGGCTACAGCGAAACAACAAATGCAGGGGCTTATTCACAAAGAATACAGATTACAGCTGCTGTAGCTCCGAATTGCGCATCACTTGCAACCACTATCTGTCTCATCTCATGGTCCAGTTCACAAAACACATTACACTAATGAGATTACAGGGCAAACACGGCCATAAAGTTTGCAGCTGAGTGCAATTTGCCCTTTCCTTGCGTCTGACAACAATTACCCATGTGGCAAAGTACAAATGTTGCCTTTGTACCAATAACACAGTAGAAAGAATAACAGCAAAAAGAAAAAGAAAACTGAAATTTTCAGTGTGTGAGCCACAGGTCCTGACCATCGAGGTGCAGTGACATTCCTCAAAAAAATGAAAAGTGACAGAAGGAAATCGAAGGAGATTTAAATTTAAATTTAATATCCCAGCCTCTCAGTGCTCTGCAGTTACCACCAACTTTCTGAGGATGCGAACAGTTTCACTGTAACTGTGCGTGGCTATTATTGATCTTTGGGAATTGGACTATTTTTGCAGGGAGGCTCATTTGTATAGAAAGGGGCCAGTTTTGCACCAAATGTATTCATATTTCCTCATTTAATAAAATACTTAATAGAATAAAATGCAATTTAAATACATGCAAATAGCACAGAGGCAGCTATTTGCTTGGTAGAGCAGCTCATGGTTTCTAGTTTTCATGGAAAGACTTGTCATTAAGTGTTTAAGCACATGGTAGTCAGACAGGGGAGGAAGTGGGATGGCACTGGTCCATATGTGTTTACTTAAAGCACAATGCACAAAGAGTTTGCCAGACCAAAGGAATTCTGATTTAAGACTACACGCCTATTTGGTTGCCATTAAGACAACCGCTATTACATACTACACTGCACATTACTGTATGTATATCTGACCACACTGGCCCACGTGTATCACAAAACTATGTAGTGTCTCCTTTAATTTGGCTGATGGGCTGGTGATATGCTATCAACATGAAATACTGTATCCATGCTTTCATCCAAAAGTCAGTGTAACAACCATCTAGTTTCATTTAGAAAACACCATCAACTGTACAATCTCCACCTTAGTTTTCAGGCAAGTTAAAACTGACTAATAAGCATTTATATTATGGATTTACTGTCCTACAGATAAATAACTGCTTTTCATTTCACTTCCTGTAGGACTTACGGAGGGAGCCTCACTGGCGGTCCAGAAGGAGCCGCAGACATTGGGACATGGAGAGACCCCTGGGCAGCCAGACAACACAGACTGGAGGCCAAAGCAAAGCCAAGAGGATGGAAAGACAAAGCTCCAGTGCGTGGAAGGGCGAGGTGGTGGAGGAGTGGTGGGAGAGGATAAGAAAGGAGGAATCAAGACAGACGAGGTGCCAGGACAGTGGGGACAGGACAGCGCATCAGATATGACAAAGACGGAGGTGAGATTGAATGAATTCATTCACTGCATTTGTATCATTTAAAATGTTCAAACACAAATGACTCTACAGCTCAGACACAAGTAAACTCAGTTCCTCACTACTGCCAACCTTGATTAACACACCAACCCCCTACCTCCTTCTTCGCATATACACTTACCCTCCCTAAACCATACACAAGCAAAAGTGAAGTAGGCACAAAGTCATCTCAAAATGTTGTGGATTTGTTCCAATCCAGCATTCTTTCTAAATACTTCTTTACTGTTTTAATTATTCTTAAACTCCTCTAAAACTTTCCACAAATCCCCCACAGCCAGACAGTATTCAGACTGTTCTGATGAAGGGGGTCATGTGGAGGCAGGTTTCAGGCATAATGGGTTCTTACAGAATTGTTTTTCATTGTTTAAAGGCATTTATCAAGAACTGATTGATGCCCGAGCCAGAAATTTTGTTTTTCTCATGAAATATTTGCAGCAAGTAAATATATGATCAAGATGTGTCAAACAGAAAACAATGTGGTTCAAAAACAGAAAAAAGATTTACACAAGAGAACAAATATGGTACACAGAAATGTACATTTCAAGGCCACACACAGTGGAAAGTCAGACATAAATTACGAAGCTTTATGAGCCTTTTGCCAACGTTTAAAACATCAGCAATTCATTATGACAAAACGCGAAAGCTGACAGCAGTTACACTAGCAGAGGTCTTTCATAGCTTCATTTTTCCCATAGGATTTAAAACGTAAAGGTGTATAATGAATAGTTGAAGAGCTATGCTTGGAACAACTGAATGCTCCATCGATTTCCCTTTATTACTCACTGGACAAGTTAAACTTTGTGGTATTTGAGCAATTTAAGAAGCTAATGAGAATGGAAGGAGGACAATGGCTGTATTATTGTGTTGGTATAATGGCAATGTTCTGCTTTTATTAACAGGGAGAAGACAGAAAGGTTAAGGTGGATGCCTTTAAAAACTCTTGGCCATCTGAGCAGCATCTCCAGCATCTTTCCCAGACACACTCAGGAATGTCTGAATACCCTCCACAGAGCCCTCAGCAAGCTCCAAGCAAGTCAAATTACCTTAATTCATCTTCTGCCGGCAGCAGTCAGATGAGCCTTTCCAATTCTCCACAGCCTCCAGTGGAAATGAACAACTTCTACTACTCACAACAACACTGGGAAGGCAGCACCATCCATAACCAACAAACACGGATGTTATGTGAACCAGACTCAAGTCAGCGGATCAAAGCACAGGCTCAATTAACAGAAACACAAAATGCTTTTTCATCAATTCAGTCACGTCCTCAGCAAACATTTTCACACCAGGACCAGAGGCAGAGCAGCATCACTCTGTCTGTTCAGCAGGTAAATTCTGCAGCAGGTAACAACATCACAGCAGTGAGCTCCTGTGCTAGGTCAACATCAAGCAGTCTCAAGAGCCCAGGTGTCTCACCTGATGTAAACACATCACCCTCTGCTCAACCCAGCCAACTCTCCTCTTCTGTTCAAGTCAGTAGAGCTGCAGCTGGACTGTCAGGGTCAGCCAATGTGCTGGACAATAATACTGTGCTGCCATCAGAGCCTTTTAAATACCAAGAACACCATGATTATCAAGACACCAAGGATCAAGCAGCAAATGACTACAACAAATACCAGTCTTTTTTCATGTCTGGCCAGCTACACGGCTATCAGCCACCCGAGTGTCTGAGCAGCGGAGTAAGGCCCGTGCAAAGCTGCCAGGACTACACAGAAGACACCAGCAGCAGTGATGATGAAGGAAAGCTTATCATTGAGCTTTAGGTGAACACGCACATATGCTATTTGGAGTTTTATCTACTGCAGACGTATATTTTTCAGGGGCAGAATTGATCTGGAGGCAGAAATAATATCAATGGCTGAGTTAAATTAGTGGGCAGAGCTGAAGAACCATTTTTTTTTCTTTATAAATATTAGGCCTGTATAAAAAAGTTAATGGGCAACTTTGCAAGAATGTTGAGGGTTGAGTCCAAATCATGTCCTGTTGTAACAAGTCTAATTACAAGCAGCCAAGTAGGAAAAATGTGAGCGCATCCATGTTCCCAGGCTCCTGTGCTCAGTATCATCAAGGAGACCTTTCAAAGGGCTTTATGTTGTCAGCAATGTTTGACCCTAGGTCAGATGTTCTATGTACGTTTCCACAGGGTCACCCACCCACTGCTTATAGCCTACTGATGTTATACTCCTTAAAACCTACACGCTCATATTTGTGGGCAAGACAGTTTTCTTAGCCCTTTTAACACTACCTGATCGAGGTGGGAATATCATGGCGTTATTCTGCCTCATCGTTCTGTATCAAAGGTACAATTGTGGCATTGGGGGACAGAGCTGCTGCCTTTAAGCCAGCAGCAAAGGTAGTAACATCGCCAAATCGACATCTGTGTGAGGGATAGCCGGCAAGATGGGATGAGCGTGACATATTGACGAAATGTTAGGTGTGCAACCCACCGCCGGGAGACTTAAAAGCAGGTAGCAGCAGTTAACAGCTAACTCAGAGAAGAAGAACAGCAAATGAAAATGTCTGCAAAGTGGGATATCAATGAGGTGTGGGACCTACTTACCCTCTGAGCAGAGGACAAGATCAACCACCATATAAGAGGGATGGTAAATGATTGTTATTGCTGTGCAATGCCTTTTCAATTTCTCATATAAAATGTGTATGTTATAGGTCACACTCCGTCACACCCTTTTCACCTCCGCAATGCCGTCATGTGATTTAAAATCACACACAGTATTGTTGGGTTATTTTTAAAAAAGAAAAGCTGGCATAATTAAAGTTCTTCGCTGCAGCCCTGTCCCTAGATCTCTGACATTGATACCTCTACAGTGTTTGTCAGGACATTCAGCTATGATATCTCCCACATGGAAAAAAGAACCACAGAATTAGTCACAAAACAGCTGCAAAGTAACCACCGCAGGCAGCTACAACAACTTTAAACACAGTTTCAAGACTAATGTAGAGGATTATGGCTTTACTGTTAAATACAAACATCTAACATGATAAAATGGGCTAGGGCTTAGCTGGGACTACAAATCTAGCAGTACGGGTTACCATCTGGGATTAATGTTAAAATAGGCTAACTGGAGGATTTCCCGTCATTCCCATTGTGCTGGCATGCCATTAATGCAACATACATGTGCTGGCTTGTCCGCACTGCCCACAACAAGTATTTAGGCTTGTTAGGAACTTTGAATATGATTATAAAACAAAAAGAATGGCAATGACATGTTTTTGTTTAGCCAGCCATCTTTGTTAATTAGGTATTGGTGCCCATTTCACAAACATTTCTGTCCTTGCCTGTTCACTTACGATAAAATAAATACCTGAAATTAACAGTCACCATTTAAGAATCACTTGCAATTACTGGAAAACAGCATGACATTGTTTTTGTTAGCAGCCAGTGTGCTTTAATAGCCTCACAACACTAGTTCCCTCATGCTTTCTGTTTGACTTCATGAGTGCTGACAGAAAGATTGTGGCTGCCTCTGCTATTTAATCCAACCAATGAGATTACTTCTGCCTCTAAGAGATGTTGTACTACTTCCGATCTACTCACACATGCTTACACACACACATCATCATTTGCCCTAATTTGTGTCTACCTTCCCACACTCACTCTCTCTCTCTCATAAACTGCACTCTGTATTATTTTGTAACCTTCCCAGACAACACCTCACCTGCGTGTGTGAATCATGTACACATGTTGCCAAATACCCATTAAGTCGATCTCTGCTGCCAATCAGGTAACCCAGGTGAAGAAGGCACTGGCTGGAGGGCCATGACCCTTTTCCCAGTCTGGGTTTTGTAATGAGTCAGCAGCTATGATAAGACACCAGCACTCACGAGAACAGGAAGTGGGTGTATGTGAACATTTCTGTACATAATTCCACGGCTATAGCTCACGCTGACTTGCTTGTCAGTCCTCAGCCAATTAGTGCACATAAAACTTTTTGGACTTGGCAGGTGTATGTGTGCAGGAGGAGTGCTGAATGAGTGCATCTGTTCAGGCCTGTTTGTTTTGACTTGTTAGATAAGTTTATAATGCTCTTACACATAAAAGGAAAGGCAAGGACACAATCATGTGTAACTGTTTATCTGGTAAGGTTCCAAGCTGATTTGTTATTGTGTTACAGATATTTGTTTGGTTTTCATTTTCTAGTTTTATATTCTTGTTACAGATTGCACAAGTAAGCATCACTGACAAAACAAATGGATTCATTTTAAAATTATTGAACATCATTTTGTGTTTTTAACCATTTTAACAACGGGAGAGATAAATCAAACACTCAAAACCATTTTTTCCTGGTCTGATTGTGTGGGTCTATTTTTAAGTTAAACCTCTGGTTTAGGGTCTAAAGTGGCTTATAGATGCTGCCATAGGCCTGAAGTAGATCAGGGTTATCTTATGAAGTTGTTTATGTGTTAGCAAACAGTTGCTTATCTAACAATATCTTGTGTCTGGTCATCTGATCAACATCCAACAGAGTTGTGGCTGCTGGTCAAGAAGGGATTTCCCCCGTATTGTATTCCCATGAGCGTTGTTGTCAGTGTTAATCAAAGGAACAGTTCACCCCCAAATCAAAAATACATATTATTTCTCTTACCTGTAGTGCTGTTTATCAATCTAGATTGTTTTGGTGTGAGTTGTTAAGTGGAGGTAGGCCTATTGACTGTAGAGATGTCTGCCTTCTCTCAAATATAATGGAACCACATGGCACTGAGCTTGTGTTGCTCAAAGTGCCAAAAAAATAAATTTGAAAAACTCTTTCCAGAAATCATGACCTGGTTACTCAAGATAATCTACAGACCTTGTTGTGAGTTTCATGTAGGAACTATTTTCCCTCTACCGTATTACGCCCTCCAACTGTATCACTGCGCAAAAGGAAGCATGCATCTACTGCTAGGTCACCTTGCGCCACTGAGCTAGCTAACGTTACAGATCGGCTGAGAAGGACACCATCCATGCAAAAGTCAGAGCGTAAGGAGTTGTCTGGAAACAGTTCTCAACATGGAGATTGCTGAGCCAGTGGCTAGCAGCTAAAGATGCTAATTCCATAAACAGTGCTAAACAACGGCAGCAGTGTTGACAGAGCTAACTTCTGCGACACAACCGTCTCTATATCAGTTTTAACCACCACATGAGCACAGTGCAAAGTGGTGGCAATTAGCTAGCCAGTAGGATACACACATGCACTAAAATGCACATGTGGCCATTACTTGCTGTTAAATTTGTCAACAAAACACAGTGGCATTGTTGCTGAATTTGTACAAAACTGATCCAGATTCATAGTAAACTGGTTTCAGCTGCAAATTGTATTGTCAGTTTTCCACACAGCATAATCTTTAGCTTCCACCAGCCATTAGCAGCACATGTAACAGAATTTAAAGCTTGGTGGTTGGGCATTTCAAACCAAAATGCACCTTGGTTGTGTTGTTTATGTACATGGGCTTGTACCTATGTATACCTTCACAACAAGTTACGCCTTTCACATTGCTCATTTGATTCATCATTATAAAACATTCTGACTAGAGGAGCTTTATTTATCTATTATACAGCCTATCACAGGCCATATACAGTATGACAAACAAATATATGGTTTATTCTGTTTTGCTAAACCTTTTATTAGGGGGGCGCAATCTCCTTTACCACTGATAATGAACAGAATGTCTACTTAATGTCAAAATGGGCCCCAGGAAACCCTTTCATTGATTCAGAGAATGAAATGGTATAATCATTTTTTTAGTTTGCAAATTGCTTTTTAGTGTTTTAGTTGTATAATTTTGATATTGTTAAACAAACAATTGTGAGTTCAGTTTGAATCTTTTGTGTAACATTTTTGATTTTCTGAGGTTCTTAGGTAATTCCCATTATATTGTGTTGACACTTTGTGTCAAGAGGAGGGAATGTGGGAATTATTTAGGAATCTGTATTGGGGGGCAATTCTTCACACCTTGAGGTCATGCTCTTACAGTTCTTAGGAGGAAGTTTCCTGTTTTGCTAAACCTTTTATTGGGGGGGGGGGCATTCTCCTTTACGAGTACAGTTGGTGGGTGCAACCTGGGTTCAGAGCTTTGGAATGGTATAAAGGTCTGTACATCCTTCAGGTTGAGAGAGAACCCTGCTACTCTCTCCGTGAGCACGTAATAAAGAACTTTGATTCCTTACACCGAGACCATCACTTCTTCAGAGAGGAGAATTTCCCTCACATTTGGCAGTGAGGATGGACGTTCTGCTGATCGACGCCTGTGCCTTGACTGAGGGTTAAACTGCCGGCAGGAGTCTCCAGGAGACTCAGGGAAAGTTCCGCTCTGACAAACAGAGGACAGGATCCCGCCTGAGGTCAGGAGCGGGTGGCGGACAGTGGACGCTCCATCTACTTTTAAAAAGTGAGTACAGTGTTATGAATCATTTTTATCTGTAGTTATTTATTTATTTTGTAGTAAGGTACCTGTTTCCATGTAAATCCTAAACTGGTTGGTATTGGAAACGAGTTGTCACGTAATTCCAGACAAGCGGTAGTGAAACTCAACTCATGAGCGTGTGTGTAGGCCTATCTCCATGGTATTCCCTTTGTGAGAGTGGAGCTCGCTGGCATATAAATCCTTCGTGGTATTGTAGACCAGTTCTATGTTATTCCGGAAAAAAGGTTTTTAGAACTGACTTGGGGAAAGCAAAACAAAGGGGGAAAAAAAAGGAGTTTAAAAGAGGGTGGAGGAGTTCTAGATAATCCTCATAGAAATAAGTATTTGTGGCAGGACAAATCCTAGAATAGTATATAATAGCATATAATTATGTATATATATATATATATAAGTATATAGAGTACACTATAGTGCACCATAATAAAATGGGCGAATGTATGAATTAATGAAATAATTATATATATAAACTTTGTGGTGGCTCATTCAGTGTCTAGTATACAGGTGTACTACAGGGGTGCGCTGCTCGGAACGAATGTGTCGTACAAACCACCTGGCTGAATAAGTTGCTCAAAGGTAGTGTATGCCTGATAAGATCAGGACAAATGGTCTGATCTTAGGTGCTTAATTGGTAGGG